AAAGGATTGAGACCGGCCACTGCGAATGTCGGAAAACATTGCTTTGAAATTCCTTCTAACTTTTTTGGCTTCCGAGTCGGCAACTTACGCAGCTCCGTACGGGAACTGCGCACACCTGAGGGCTGGTCTGAATTCATTAAGTCCTACTTGGGAGTGGAAAACTCCCTTAAATTTTCAGCTTCCTAGCTTTTCCTCGTTCCTGATTTAGCAATTTATATGCCGAAAACTTCGCGAGCCCGTAATTGGGGACCACGCGGGCAAGAGCGTCTATTTTGAGAACAGGGGCCTGTACGTGCATGTAGATTAAGATCCTAAATTTTCAGCCTTGTAGCTTTTGTGGGCCTCGAGATGAAAATCGGCACAGATGACGCAAAGACATATACAGACAACTTTTCAAGAATATGCGTTTTTGCGCTGCATAGATGCGAAAAACGCACAAAAAGGATTGTCATGTACTTCCTAAAAAAGAAATGCTTTTTTTTTTCTCTGCCTCTCAAACTACGTCAATGCTGACATTAAGAAGCGGTAATAAACACGGCTGCTTGACAGAACAATATGAATAAGTGCGTATGTGTATAAATTCATATATATATATATATATATATATATGAATTTTATTGTTGTTTACAATGTAACACTGGCGGATCCAGAGGGAGAGTGAAAGACCTTTGCTCCCTCCCCCTCCCCAGGGACTCAGGTAGCAACTGTTTTACTGTAGAAAACTCTGCTTAATATTTCCTGTCGCTCCTCCCCCCAACCCCCCTCCCTCCCCCCTTTTTTCTCTCCCCCTCCGTCCTCGCCCCTCCTCCCCCCTCCAGTCGTCGCCGCAATTTAGGGTCTGCTAGCGAGAATGAAGGGTAGCGGAGCGTCCAACACAGCGATAGCGACGACCAAGGGGGAGGGAGAGAAGGAGGAAAATTGACAAAATCGAACTCCCCCTCAGGAAGCCGCTCTGGATCTACTTGTGCAATGAATGGGCTTTTTCCAAAGAGTAAAATGAAAGAAGAAGGGAAGTGGGGGGAAAGCTAAGGAGACCGAACTAACAAAAATGAGCAACATGAACATTAAATGGGTCATGGAACCGGGACGAGGCGATAAGTTACAAATGAGTTTTGATGCGGTGCGCATCCAGCTGCTCGGCGATACGGCCTGGTCGCGACCTCACGTCTCGAACATTCCAGCTCTCAGTGCAATCCTTCAGACATTGCGGCCAATTCAGCGGCCATTCGAGCTCATTCGGTAAACGGCCAGACGGCACATTCACTTCCAACTCGTACATTGTCCAAAACAGCAATAAACGACGATAGGCGCTTGTCTGCATTCGCACTCGATGGGGCAACAGCACAAATGAGTGGTAGATACTGAAAAGAGACGACAAATAAATGCTGCATTTTCAGCACAGTTTTCGGCTATATCAGTAACGCTATGATGAACCGATGCTGTTGTGGCAGCGAAGATTGTCCGACCAAACGCAGAGGGCCTGGCGCCAAAGCTCATTCTGGACGCTGGAAAGATTTATCAAAAGAGCACTCGGTGAACTTATTTAACACCACGAACAAAAACAGAAATAAACAGTGAAGCGCACCAGGGCAGCTTGTGCGATTATGCGTTTTGCGCAGTTCCGTCCAGCGGACTTTTGCTTACTAAAAATATAACTGTCTTACACTTTCGTATATGGAAAATAGTAGATATGCTGTATGGCCCCTAAAGTGTGGAATTTCCCACTGAAAATTTCACGTGCCTGTGCGTGAAAGCTGGATTTGAAAACGTGGATGGGGGCATTTTTCTAAATTTTAACCTTTTAGTTTTCTGACTTCCGAGCTAGTGACTTTCATATGAAAATTCTCACCTGGTCTCTGTAAGACCTTTGCATACTTAGGGGCTAAATTTGAGTTTGTGAGATAATTGTAACGGCAGAAAATATCGTCTCGAAATTTCAGTTTCCTAGCTTTTATGGTTCCCGAGATAATTTTTCGTCAGAACTCTCACGGAACCGTACGCGATACCCAAGCGCGCGGAAAAAATGAATTTAAACTTTCTGGGCTGCACGTGATCAAAGGGTATACCCATAAAATCTCAGCTCCCTAGCTTCCGCGGTTTCTGAGATAATGATTTTACTCGCCGAAATTTTACGAGGCCTTACGTGTTACCCACATGCACGGGAAGGGAGGGGGGTTAAATTTAAGCTCTCTGGGCCGCAAGTGGGCAGAGGACATATGCACAAGACCTCACTATCTCAGCTTTCGTAGTTCCCGAAACTCCGCCAAAACTTTTACGGGCCCACTGGTACAGGAAGATTGAATTTTCTGGGTCGTACGTGGTCAGGGGGCATACCCATAAAATTTCAGCTTCCTAGCTTCCCTGGCTCCCGAGATACTGGTTTTACCTGCCAAAAATTTCATGAGGCCGTACGTGTTACCGCGAGTGTAGGAAGGCTGGATTTAAATTTGCCGCGTTACACGTGGGTGAGGAATACTACACTAAAATTTTGGCCAACTAGCTTTTGTGATTCCCGATTTGAAAGTGCGGGACAAATTGTAGGACACACACACACACACAAACACACGCAGACAACCCCGTGATAATGTGCATTTTGTATAGCTGTTACACACCAAAAAATGCATAAAAAGCGGCAAAATGTAAAAACTTTCCTCTAATTTAAAAAAATTTTTAAAAATATTACTAGTAATAGTCGAAAAAAGAACCGTCCCATAACTCTTCGCTGCCCCAGTCTGCACTAACGTTGAGAATGCTGT